CGTTCTGTGATTGATGTTGTTGTTGAGCTCTCATTTCTGAAAGTAAGGATTGCTGATTCCCCCCTCACCTGCGCATATTGTTTCCTCAATCAAAGTGCGCCCCTCGACGCTCGCATCCCGGTTTTGAAAAGGAAAGTCTACCTGGTCAAACTGCGCCCCTGGCCCCCCAGGCTACAACAACAACGGCTCCCGCCTGAGACTTCCTCCGCTCAGGACCCCCCCCCTCCCGTCTGAGACTTCTTCCTAATTGTTTCAGGAACGGCGCTCCCGCTGGAGATGTTCTCACAATTTAGTCCGGGTCAAAGTGCTTTGTTGCTTCCCCGGACTACAACAACAACGGCTCCCGCCTGAGACTTCCTCAAAATGCGTTGAAGAATCGAGCTCCCGCCGAAGACTTCCTCGCATTTTTTTCAAGAACGGAGCTCTCGCTTGGGACTTCTTTAGAATCTATTACGGAATCGTTCTCCCGGCGCTCTGGAGTCGCGCTCTCGCTGGAGACATCGCTTGCAATGTATTCAAGAATCGCGCCCTTGCATTGGAATTTCCCGCAATCTACTCAAGCGCCGCGCTCCCGACACTCAGGCGCCCAGGAGTCGCGCTCACGCTTTGGACTCCTTCACAGATTACTCAGGAGTCGGGATCTCGCTGCCCTTCGTGGCCCCGTTGCAGCCTTTCGTGGCCTCCTCGCTGCCCTTCGTGGACCCGTTGCACACTTCGTGGCCCCCTTGCTGCCCTTCGTGGCCCCGCTGCAACGTTTCGTGGCACCCTTGCTGCCCTTCGCGGCCCCGTTGCAGCCCTTCGTGGCCCCCTCGCTTTGTTTCGTGGCCCCGTTACAGCCTTTCGTGGCCTCCTCGCTGCCTCATCAGCCCTTCGTGGCCCCCTCGCTGCCTTCGTAGCCCCTTTGCAGCCCCTCGTGGCTCACTTGCTGCCCTTCGTGGCCCCTTTGCAGCGTTTCGTGGCCCCCTCGCTGCCCTTCGTGGCCCCGTTGCAGCCCTTCGTGGCCCCCTCGCTGCCCTTGGTGGCCCCGTTGCAGTCCTTCGTGGCCTCATCGCTGCCCTTCGTGGCCCCATAAATGCATGCCTTTTGTGGACCCCGCTCGTTCGCGCCCGTCGTGGCCCGATCTGCATGCCTCTCTTGGCCTCGCCGTCGCCCGTCGTGGCCCCCTCGCTGCCCTTCGTGGTCCCGTTGCTGTCCTCAATGGCCCCCGTCCTTGCCCTCCGCGGCCCCATATACGTATACCCTTCGTGGCCCCCGCTCGTTCGCGCCCGTCGTGGCCCCATATGTATGCCCTTCGTGGCCCCGCTGTCGCCCTTTGTGGCTCCCTCGCTGTACTACGTGGCCCATCTGCCTTCTGTGGCCCCACATTATCTGCTCTTCGTGGCCCTCTACGCATTCCTTTCGTGTCCCCGCTGTCCCCCTTCGTGGCCTACTTCGTGCCCTTCGTGGCCTTGCTTTCGTTCTCTCTCTCGCTCTCGCTTTCGCTCGTCGTCGTCGTCGTCGCCGTCGTCGTCGTGGTCGGTCCCCTATCCGTCCCTCTTGGGGTCGGCTTGCCGCCGATCAGCGCTGCCGCTGGCCAGGCCGACGGTCCGCGGCCGCCCCGCCGCTTGCCGGGCCCAGCCTGCAGGGAAGAAAGGGTATACCCCCCAAAAGGGTTACGATCGAAGACGAACGGGGCGGGTATCGAGGGTCTAGGAAATACGCGTTAACAGACACTCGGGCAGGTAAGAGCGAATAGTCTTAAAATGATTGTTGTTGTTGTTGTTGAACTCTCACTTCAGAAGAATAATTATATTTGATCCCCCCCGCCAAATGGACATTGTATGTTTTGATTGAAGTGCCCGTCCTGGGGCTCGAACCAAGTTTTTTATCACGGAAAGTCTTGAAGCTCAAACTGTGTCGTTGCCCCCCGGTTTACAACATCAGCGGCTCCCGCCTGATACTTCCTCACAATGTATTGAAGAATCGCGCTCTCGCTTGGGACTTCCTGGCAATTTGCCACCGAATCGCTGCCCCCGCTTGATACTTCGTAAAAATGTATTGCAGCGCTTGAGACTTCTTCGCAACTTACCACCGAAGCGCTTCGCTTGAGATTTCCACGCAATTTATTCAGATGCCGGTCCTCGACACTCGCGAATCGCGCTCCCGCTACACAATGCCTGGCGGTTCAAGCAGGACTCACGTTTCAACGACCTGCCCGCTCGAACCGCCCGTCGGGGCCTGCCCGCACGACCAGCTCGTTAATGACTGCGGTCGCCGCCTTTGCTGCCCCTCGCCACCCCTACTGGTTCCGCGTTCGCCTTCGCTCGCTGCCCTTCGTGGCCCCGTTGCTGCCCTCAGTGGCTCCGTCGCTGCCCGTTGTGGCCCCGCATTATATGCCCTTCGTGGCCCCCGCTCGCTCGCGCCCGTCGTGGCCCCATACGCATGCCCTTCGTAGCCCCGCCGTCGCCCTTCGTGGCCCCCTCGCTGCCCTTCGTGGCCCCTTTGCTGCCCTCAGTGGCCCCGCTGTCGCCAATTGTGGCCCCGTATACGAATGCCTTTCGTGGCCCCCGCTCGCTCACGCCCGTCGTGGCCCCATATGAATGCCCTTCGTGGCCCCGCTGTCGCCCTTTGTGGCCCCCTCGCTGCCCTTCGTGGCCCCGGTGCTGCCCTCAGCGGCCCCGTCGCTGCCCTCTGTGGCCTCGGATTTTATGCCCTTCGTGGCCCATGCTGGTTTTTCTCACGATTTACTTGGGCATCGCGCTATCGCTCGAGACTTACTCGCGGTTCATGCAAGACCCACGTTGCAGCAACCCGCCTGCTCGACCTCGTCGCCTGGGCCCGCCTTCCCGACCTGCTATGGGTCTGCCCACCCGATCTGCCCGTATGGTTCTACCACTTGTTCTCTGCTCCTTGCCCCCCTCCTGCTAATTTCTCTCGTGCTCCATTATTATCCCTCCCCCTTCGACCCGTCCTCTCTTCCCTTGATTTAGGCGCTGCACTAAATACACGTGGCAGGTAAGGAAGATATGGGCACCGAGTGTTTAGGATATACGTATTGATCAGCACGTGAGCAGATAGGAGCAAACAGTCTAAACATGTGTGTTGTTAGTGCTGGTGTTGTTGATGTTGTTGTTGGTGTTGGTGTTGGTGTTGGTGTTGGTGTTGGTGTTGGTGTTGTTGTTGTTGTTGTTGTTGTTGTTGTTGTTGTTCTTGTTGTTATTGCTGTTGTTGCTGTTGTGGTTGTTGTTGTTATTGTTGTTGTTGTTGTTGTCGTTTGTTGTCGTCCCCCCCGCGACCCACCCCGCGACCCACCCCGCGACCCACCCCGCGACCCACCCGGCGACCCACCCGGCGACCCACTTGCGACCCACCCGCGACCCACCCCGCGACCCACCCGCGACCCACCAGCGGCCCACCCGCGACCCACCCGCGACCGATCCACATGGGTTTGAAGAAAAAATCGGCGCCTGCGGAGGGCTCGTCGTATGATGTGTGAAACTTTGGCGCCTGCGGCGGGCTTCTCCAGAGTCTCGCAGACTGCCGACGTCCCCACCGCCCCCTCACTCTTATCCGCATCTGCTGGGTGCTACAGATCCACGTGTACCATCCCATCTGTTTGAAGGGGCCCTGGGACACACAAATAAATACACACAAATAACAGGATTCCCAATATTTTATCTTATCTTCTGGGTGTTTGCATTCCCCCCACACCCAATATGTTTCCACATTTTCCTTGGAATCGACGATTACTTGTGTCTGTGTGTGTTTTTCCCCCTCCTGACTGTTGTCGGCGTCGTCCCCACCGGTGAAAGGGACGGGCACGGACGGTGCCCGTGACCCCCTGCTCCCCTCGAGGGCGAAGGGCGGAGGGCACATGGCGAGCGCCGCTCACAGGAAGGCGGCCGCGGCCGCCGCCGCGGCACGGGGGCGGCGGCGAGCCCCCCGCAGGGCCTCAGGAGAATCCAAAAAAAAGTTACCGCTGCCGCGGTCCTCCAGCACGCTTTGGCGGCGCGCACGAGGGGGGAAGGAGGCTGCTGTCGCTTAGAAGGGGGAGGGGGGAGGGGGGGAAGGAGGCTGCTTAGAAGGAGGCTGCTGCTGCTTAGAAGGAGGCTGCTGCTGCTGCTGCTGCTGCTGCTGCTGCTGCTGCTGCTTAGGAGGAGGCTGCTTAGAAGGAGGCTGCTTAGAAGGAGGCTGCTGCTGCTTAGAAGGAGGCTGCTGCTTAGAAGGGGGAGGGGGAAGGAGGCTGCTGCTGCTTAGAAGGAGCCTGCTGCTGCTTAGAAGGAGGCGCTGAAGGGGGAGGGGGGAAGGCTTCTCAGAAGGAGGCTGCTGCTTAGAAGGCACGGGCCCTAGATCTACAGATTGGACCCGCGCCTTCTAAGAAGCAGAGGGGCGTCTCCAAGAAGCCTTCCCCCCTCCCCCTTCAGCGCGTGGCCGACCTCTCCTGGATTGCGCTCGAATTGGCCATGGGAGGGTCTTGAAGTAATCTTGCGCCAAGTAGTCTGATCGGGCAAGGGTTTCGGTGTATAAAAGCACCAGCCTCCCAACCTGTGAGATGCTGGAGCGTCTACTCCCCGAATTCCTTCGCCGAATGTGTAAGATTTTTGACCCGCAGAGAGACGTGGAGCATACATCGAGCCAACCCTCGGCCAGAATACCCTGCTGGCGAGTCCGGCCGTGGCGACCAGGACCTCCCCCGCACCAGAAGGCCCAAAGGGGCGAAGGCGAGGGGGAAGCTTGTCGGTATCAATCTGTTCTTCCACGCTGGAGCGCCGCCGCGCGCAGGGGCGGCGGGCACGCAGCCGGCGGCGCGCAGGCGGCGTGGGCGACGCCGGGGGGAGCGCCGCCTCCTGGAGGAAGGCGGAAGAGGGCGAGCAGGAGGCAGGGGAGGGAGAGGAAGAGCAGGGATCGCCGACGGGAGCGCCGCCCGGCGCGCCGCCGGGCGCACCGCCGGCGCGGCGGCCCGGCCCGCGCTAGGCGCGGCGCCGGGCGGCGCCCGCGCCGGGCGCGGCGCCCGGCGCGGCGCCGGGCGCAGCGCCAGGTGCAGCGCCAGGGGCGCCCGGCGGGTGGGCGCCTGCTGCAGGCGGCGCGGGGCCAGGCATGGCCTGGGCGCCCGCCGCTCCGCCATGTGCCTGCACGGGGCGGTTCTGCGCAGGGCCCATGCCCCCCATGGCGGCACGAGCTATACAGATCCACAGCCGCTGGCCAGGCCCATGCTGGGCCCAGGAGCGGTGGTGCATGCCCCCTGGCTTGGCCGAGGAGGCATATACACAGCTCCTGGGCCAGGGAAGGACCTAGCCAGCGGCGGTGGATGGGTACAGATCTCGTCGCCCCATCCCCCTCGTCCGTGCACCCTCCCCCCAGTCGTTCTCGCTCTCGCTGCGCGCCCGTGTCTGTCGATGCGTCATCCGCCTTCTTCTTCGTCTTCCTCCTCCTCTTCCTCCTCCTCCTACTCCTCCTTGCTGCTGTGCGTCGCTACTCGCGGGCGACTCTGAAATCAAAATTTGGTGGCGGCGCCGTACTGAATCAAGGACTGCACTGTCGGAAGTGCGTCCGATGAGAGGGTGATGCCACGTGAACGGCAAGGCGAACTCATGCGTTTCCACCTCTCGCCCTGGTCCGTTTCTTTTTCATTCCACTACCACCTCCTCCTCACTGCATGCCGCCATTTTCCTCCTCCTCCTTCTCCTTCTCCTCCTCCTCCCTCCCTCCCTAATTACTTCCCTCCCTCCCTCCCTCCCCCCTAATTGTGTGTCTCTTCTCGCCCTTCTCCCCCTATCAACTTCCTCCCCCGCCTCCTCCTCCTTCTCCTCCTCCTCCGCTCCAAGGCCTCCGTCCTGCCGCCGCTCCTCCCCCTCCCACATCGTTGGCCCACCTCCACCTCAGTCTAACCCTCCGCCCTTCTCCCGCTCCAAGTCGCGAGTCGAGGGCACGTCGGCTCCAGCGCAGGAGGCAGCCCCCTAGGCCGCAGCGGCGGCGTTGAACATGGCGGACGCAGCAAAGCGCCACGCCGACCGCAAGCACGACCAGGCCGTGACCAATCCGCGGAGACTTCGCACCGCGCCCAGCGTGGCCGAGGGCGACGAGTCACAGGCGGCTCGCGCGCAGGCAGCCGCTGAGATTGCTCGTCGGGGACTCGTCGGCGCAGGCCGAAGGAAATGCGACGACTCCTGCAGCCCAAAGCGCCGACGAACAACCGCAGGAGCTGTTCGAAGTGATCCGGGGCGAAGCGTTGTTTCAGGACGTCGACGGCTATGGCGCGAAGACGCCAAGAAGGAGCAGCTCAAAAGCATTCGTGATCGGTTGCAGCAGATGAACCAGGCCGTCACCTCAAGTCCACGGAGGCAAAGGATTGGCCTGCCAAGGCGCCCCAGGTGCACGAGGAGATTGACAAGCGCAGGGCCATCAAGATGAGACGCTCCAACTAAGGGGCGGCGCCGATCACCGCCGTCGAGAAGGCCCTGCCGTCGCCCGGGTGGGCAGTCGCCGCTGGCTGAGGAGCGTGCGCCGAAGGTCCCTTCCATTGAGGAGCTGGAGGAGCAGAAGGCGAAGTGGCAGGCCGAGGCGCCTCGCCTGTCGGTGGCCGAATTTGCGGCGAGGGAGGCGGCCACGGCCACTGCTGCGGGCGAGGGCGCGAGCGGCGCCGCGAGGGCGCCGCCAAGGGACTTGCCCAGCCTCAGCCTGGCGGGTTGCGCCCGGCTGTGAGGCCGCCGCGGGCGCCACTGGCGGCCGGGCGCCAGTTGCGTCGGGGGCGAAGCCCAGCGAGGCCCAGGATATCAAGTGAGCTCCCATCTTCTACTCGAACGTCGCAGCCCTTGGGGATCAGGCTTGGACGTACCTCGCCCAGCAGTGTGATGCTCACGCAGGTCTGTATTGCGTAGAGACCGTCTTTACGAGTCAGGGCTACGCAATTGGGACAAGTGGGACCCTGAGCGGAACAAACGTCTCAATCCGAATCCTGCACGTGCCACTGGTTAGCATCGGTCGGCGGCTACGATCGAGAAGGCCACAGAAGAGGGGGACAAGGTCACCTTCGCCAAGAAGCAACAGCAAGTCACCCGCCGGGCGGAGGCTCATGATAACGCACTACGAGCCCCAGGGGCGACGGCGCTGGACGGCTACGTGGCGTCCGCCATCCATTGTGAGGTTTTCTCCTTCATCCTCATCATGCTCTACAGTTATGCTCCGTCGGCATGGCGGGCGCAACGTTGCTCGGTGTCAACGACTGGGAGCAATGTTGCGTGCCCTGCAACTGCTGTGGGTGATATTCGGGGATTGGAACCTCACCACGCAGCAGCTCGAACAGCCGGGCTGCCTGCAACGAGCGTAGGGTCGTGTTCTGGTGCCGCCTTTGGCTTTCACGCGTGACATGGGGGCAAAAGGCGCGCTCATCGACTGCGCTGTCATGTCGGGGACGATTGTGCCGCGCGTCGCGAGGTGCCAGGCGGCCCTGGGCGTGCTTGGCGACCTCGCATCGGCATCGTCGCCATGGTCGAGAGCAGCGGCAAGCAGTTGATCACACGGCGAGGCACCTGCTCGACGGCACCAGATCATGAGGCCCCGCGCGGAAGCCATAACTAAGAGAACCATTCAGTCCGCTGCAGCAGCGGAGCGGCGCGCCTATTCGCAGCGTTGACTCAAGAGGACGTTACCTTCCCATCGGACGACGGAGTTCTACTAAGTGAGTGTCCAGAAGAAGAAGAAGAAGACGCCTGGGGCCGCGAGTCGCGTTTCTGTTCCTTTTCTGCACATTCCGTCGTTGATCCTTCCAGCGGTGCCCAGGACAGCTTCGCAAAAAATGAGAAGCTGCCGTCAGCGCCGCAGGGTGTCGAATCAGTCTTGTCTGATGGAGTTGTAAGTTAGCCCCATCGATGACACTCCCTGGCCGATCGAGGGACCGACCCTGGATGACCCATGTCTTAAGGTGGAGCCCCGGTTGCGTTTCGCCGAAAATGTGGGGCGAGCAATAAGTCATCCATTCCGTTTCAGGATTGCCATCTTGAGGATATGCATTCTCTTTTCCTCGACTCCTTCACGTCTCGACCCAATATCAAGCCTTCCCTCAATCGCTTCGTGCCTCGAGGCCGTCTCTGCGCTGTCCAGCAGCCATGCGCTGGACAATTCAGGGCGTCGGTGCTGTAGGTGCCGAAGCTCTTCGTCGATCTTGGGTCACCGTCGTTGGACGGCTTCGCCCTGCTGGAAGCTCGTGGCATTGGGCGGCTCCCCTAGGACCGTTCTCCCCGGGGGGCGGAGTGACGCATCGCCGGGGGGTGAGTGCACGGGCCCCAGATAACGAAGTATAACCAAGATGTGGATGTCTGATGTTGGGCTGTGTGCGGGATGTTTGGTGACCAGTAGCCGTCTTAGGACAAGGAGTGTCGAATGAAGGCCACCCACATCCGTGCTGGCTATTAACTAGAATGAAAGTTTCGTTGTGGCCCAACGTCTATAGCAATACTAAGAAGGCTAAGAGATCACTCAAGGGGCGCCCATCTTGAAGGCTTCACTGATTTGGACACCGTTCTGGAACTCCTCCTCCTCCTCCTCCTCCTCCTTCTCCTCCTCCTCTTCCTCCTCCTGCTCCTCTTCCTCCTCCCGCGCGCGCGCGAGGTCGCGCGCGCGGGCGGAGGGAGGGAGGGAGGAGAGCGAAGGCCTCCGAAGGGCCTCCGAAAGCCTCCAAGAGCTTACGAAGGCCTCCGAAAGCCTCCAAGGCCTCCGAAAGCCTCCAAGGCCTCCAAGGACGTCTCCGAAGGCCTCCGAAAGCCTCCAAGGGCTTCCGACCTCGCACGGCCTCCGAGGGCCTCTCCGACGCTCCCCGAGGGGCCTCCGACGGCCTCCGAGGGCCTCCGGCGGCCTCCGAGGGCCTCCGAAGGGCCCGTCCCCGCCCCCGCCGCTCGGGCCCAGCCGCGCCTGCGCCTCCGCGGCGCCGTGCTCGGGCGCGCCCGCAGGCGGCGACGCGTCCGACCTGTTGACGGTGACCTCGCCACGCGCGGCGGCGGCCCCTCCCCTCAGAGGAGCAGTACTGGGGCGGCGAAGGTCACCCGGATCACCGCGGGAAGGCCGAGTGGATAGGGGCTCCCGAGTGGTCGATGGCTCCGCCAAGTGGGCGAGAGCCCACTCAGCTCAGATCTCCCCCCTCCCCCCTAGGCCACTGAGGGAACTGGTAATTCATATATAAGCCATGTAGATCCGCCACCGTGCCGCTGGGCACGGAGTGGGCGTGTCCTCAGGTCCTTGGCTCAATCCCCTGAGCCGCAGTCCTCAGTCCTGAGAAATGGTTTAAGGGCCCCGGAGCCGAAATTACCAAATCTCTGGAGGCTTGCCGCGGTTCCTCTGGGGCCCGTCGTGTGGTGGCGCGCGACTTTTCGGGGCCCAAGAGGGCCCCAAGACTGACCCCGAGAACCCCAAGACGTCCCCAAGACGGTCCAGGAGGGCACCGAGTCGCCGAACGATCGCTCCAGGACGCCCACGATGGCCCCAAGATGGCCCAAGACGCCCTAAACGCCGTCCAAGTGGCCTCCCAACAGGGCGCCAAGAGGCCAAAATCAATGTTTTGCCTTAGGTTTTGAAGGATTGTGGCGTTCTCGCCGTTTCGGCTTCCTGACGCTCTAAGACGGCCCCAAAGGCCCCCGTCCAAGAAGCCTCCCAGAGGCCCCCAAACAGCCCAAGAGGACCCCAAGACGGCCCACGAGGCGCCCAAAAAGGCCCAAGAGGGCACCCAAGACGGCTTCAGAAAGGGGCCCAAAAGAAGGAACACGAACGGAACATCCGAGCTTTCCGCCCCAAAAGGCCCCCAGGAGGCCCCAAGAGACGCTCAGGAGGCCCCAATGAGGCCCCCAAGAGGCCCCAAGAGGCCCCCAGGAGGCCAGAAAGAGGCCCCCAAAAGGCCCCCAAGAGGCGTCCCAACTGCATCCAAGAGGCCCCCGAAAACCCTCCCACGAGATCCTTGCGAACATCCCATAGGCTTCATCCCCACAACCCAGGAACGGTGGCGGGATGTGCCGACGGCAATTCGTTATATGTAGAAATATAGTATTGTGTATATTGATATAAACAAATATCAATAAAAATGTGAATGTATGTATATACGCGTGTATATATATATATACATGTATGCGCATATATACATGTATGCAATTATGCATCGTTGTGCACAAATACGTGTATAGCTATATATGAATATATGTATATATATAGACATATATGTTCATTGACAGTGCAACGATAGCGAATTGTGAATATATATATATATATATATATGTACTAGAACCACGCGCGCTTCGCGCGCGCTTAGGTTCTGTCGAGTCACAGACCCAGGAATCGTTGCGAGAAGAAATTGGTGACGCGAAGCGTCTTGGGGGCGTCCTTGGACGTCTGGGGTCTCCTGGGGCCTCTTGAGGGGCCTCCTGGGGGCCTCCTGGCGGCCTCTTGGGGCGGAAGGCTCGAGCTTGCGGTTCGTGGTCCCCCTCTGGGCCCCCTCTTGGGCCCGTCTTGGGGCCCTCTTGGGCCATCTTGGGCGCCTCTTGGGCCGTCTTGGGGCCCTCTTGGGCTGTCCTGGGGCCCTCTTGGAAGCTTCTTGGGCCGTCTTGGGGCGGTCTTGGGCGCCTCTTGGGCCGTCCTGTAACGTCGGAAAGCCCAAAAGGCGACTTTGTTGAAAATGTACGTTTTACGAAGGGAATGGGCCAATTTTTTGCGTCTAGGGGCCCTCTTGGGACGCATGTTGGAGGCTTCTTGGGGCCTCTTGGGGGCGTCCTTGGACGTCTGGGGTCTCCTGGGGCCTCTTGAGGGGCCTCCTGGGGGCCTCCTGGCGGCCTCTTGGGGCGGAAGGCTCGAGCTTGCGGTTCGTGGTCCCCCTCTGGGCCCCCTCTTGGGCCCGTCTTGGGGCCCTCTTGGGCCATCTTGGGCGCCTCTTGGGCCGTCTTGGGGCCCTCTTGGGCTGTCCTGGGGCCCTCTGGGAAACTTCTTGGGCCGTCTTGGGGCGGTCTTGGGCGCCTCTTGGGCCGTCCTGTAACGTCGGAAAGCCCAAAAGGCGACTTTGTTAAAAATGTACGTTTTACGAAGGGAATGGGCCAATTCTTGCGTCTAGGGGCCCTCTTGGGACGCATGTTGGAGGCTTCTTGGAGCCTCTTGGGGGCGTCCTTGGACGTCTGGGGTCTCCTGGGGCCTCTTGAGGGGCCTCCTGGGGGCCTCCTGGCGGCCTCTTGGGGCGGAAGGCTCGAGCTTGCGGTTCGTGGTCCCCCTCTGGGCCCCCTCTTGGGCCCGTCTTGGGGCCCTCTTGGGCCATCTTGGGCGCCTCTTGGGCCGTCTTGGGGCCCTCTTGGGCTGTCCTGGGGCCCTCTTGGAAGCTTCTTGGGCCGTCTTGGGGCGGTCTTGGGCGCCTCTTGGGCCGTCCTGTAACGTCGGAAAGCCCAAAAGACAACTTTGTTGAAAATGCACGTTTTACGAAGGGAATGGGCAATTTTTGCGTCTAGGGGCCCTCTTGGGACGCATGTTGGAGGCTTCTTGGGGCCTCTTGGGGGCGTCCTTGGACGTCTGGAGGCCATGTTCAGCATCTCGGAGCCCTCTTGGAAGCCTCTTGGAAGTTTCTTGGGCCGTCTTGGGCGCTTCTTGGGCCGTCTTGTCTGACTGGGGAGGCCTCCGGCAAGCCCCGACGAGCCTTCGGGCCCCCCGGGGCGCACATTTGTGGTCGGGGTCCCGGCCCCGGTGCGCCGTTATATGTGTATGTATTTCAAATAGACTTGCCCTATAGGAACCCTAGCTCATAATGCATAACTGGTCATTAGCAGCCCCTTTTTTCCAAAGGCGGCCCGCGTCGCAACAAACAATGCGCCATCGGATGTCAGGGCAGGAAGGACCCCTCCCCCCAGGAAGGCGCCCCCCCACCCTCAGGGGACCCCCCTCAGGAGGGTTTCCCATACATCCATCGCCCGGGCAAGCCAAGGCGGATGGTGTTGCTTCATACCGTGCGGCGCGTTTTTGGGGGGGGTCTTCGGGCTCTGGGGCCGTCAGAAAACAGCCCGTCAAACAACTGTTCCGACGGTGTATACCCGCACGAGGATCTGCTTAGCTTGCCCTTAGCCTTTTTCGTCTTCGCCCTGGCGAACACCATCCTCTCGCTTCTGCTCTGGCCTCTCCTCCTCTTCCTCTTCCTCCTTTTTATGTCTCCTGTTCCTCCTCCTCCTCCTCCCCCTCCTCCTCCACGTCCTTCTCCACCTCCTCCTCCTCCTCCTGACCGCCGCCCTCCCCCTACCTTTTCCCCTTTTTGATCCTCCCCCTGCCTCTTCTCCACGTGCACCTCCCCTTCCCCCTGGTCGGGGCGAGCAAGTCGACGTTCCTCGGCGCCGTCGCCGCCTCGGCCAGCACGCGCGCGTATGCCGACGGCTTGATCGCGAAGCCTTTGGGCCAATCCCGCGGGCCATGCCATTGGGACAACCCCGCGGGCCGCTGTGGCACGGGAGCGGGCCGTCGGGACAAACCCGCGGGCCAGGCCGCTGGGGCAACCCCGCGGGCCTCGAGGTGGGCGCGGCCGCGCTCATGCGGGGGGCAATGCGAAGCCCAGCCGTGCTGCGAGCTGTTCCGCCTCGGTGCTGGAGCTCTCCGTTATCTCCTCGAACTCCCGGGGCGCCTTCCGCAGGGACGCCGGTGGCCCGCGCTCCAAGAACTCTCGCGTGGGCCGCAGGACCAGGATGTTCCCCATGCACGTTGCGCGGGAGAACATGACGCAGGGGTGCAGCCACCACTGCTCGTCCGACATGCCCGTGCGACTAGCGTCGCCATCCCTGGCGCAGTCGACGGTGATGCCATCGCCGTCTCGGGGGACTGGGTTCTGCCGAGCGAGTGGCCCTCTTAAGAACGCAAAAGTGACCCCGTTCAGATTGGCCCGCGAGGGCTCGCATCACCTTTCGTTCCTGAGGAACCCAAGAGTGACGACAGGTACGAAATCCCGAGGACTCCCTCGGATTCTGACATGGAGCTGCGGGCCCCATAGCAAGGGGACTCCCGCACGAGGCTTCCTCGCAATTCACCCACAAACGAACCTCCCGCCTGAGGCTTTTCAAAATTCGAACGTGAGGGGCCCAGAAGTGACGACAACTATAGGGTTCGGGTGACCCGGTCAGATTGCAAAAATGACACGCGAGCTCCATAGGGAGGGGGCTCCCGCCTGAGACTTCCTCGCGGTTCACTCACAAACGAGGCTCCCGCCTGAGGCTTCGTCGAAGTCCAAGCGAGAGAAGCACAAAAGAGACGCCAGGTCTAAGATTCGCATGACCCGCTCCGACTACCAACATATAGCGCGGGCTCCACAAGGAGCGGTTCCCGCCTGAGACGCCGTCGCAGTTCACTCACAAACGAAACTCCCGCCTGAGGCTTCTTCAAAATTCAAGCGTGATGGGAGCCCAACAAACTCGACAGTTGCAGGGTTCGGGCGACCAGCTCCAACTACCAACATGAAGTGTGGGCTCCATGGGGAGGGGGCTCCCGCCTGAGACTTCCTCGCGGTTCACTCACAAACGAGGCTCCCGCCTGAGGCTTCTTCAACACTCAAGCGTGAAAGGCCCAGAAGTGACGACAGTGACAAGGGTCGGGTAACCCTCTCCGATTGCCAACATGAAACGCGGGCAAGGCCTCCATGGGCCTCGGGGTGTCCGCGGCGCCTGCGGGGGCTTTCCGGCAGAGGTGAGGAGGGAATTCAACGTTTCTCACGCTGCCTGGTACCTCTTGGGGGAGACCCTCGTCTCCACGGCTGGGTTCGCCACGAGATCCTGGCCAGACCGCGCTCCAAGACACGCCTGGGGGAGCCAATTGTAAAGCGTGGAGCAAGCGTTCGGGCGTCGCGGCAGGATCGCGACGGCGGCTTCGGGCAAATTTCGGGCTGGGACACAAGGAAACCGACCAGAGGCGTGGAACGGGTCTGGAGGATGGGGGCCAGAGACTCAGAGGCTCATGCCTTCAAAAAGTCACGAGGTCGGAGGCCTGGACAAGGGGCAGAGGGGCCCAAAAGAACAATCGAGGAGACCCTCCAGAAGACAAAAGAGCAATGAGCATACTGACCGACGCCTTTTTGTTTGCCGTTTGTGGCTGAGTTCTGCTGCCCCCCGCCCCTCGGAGGGGCGCGACCACGGTACGTCACCATGCAACGGAACAGAACCGAGCGCTCGTACGGGCAGGCCGTGGCCTCGCAGAAGCGGCCAGGTGGATCCGCAGCCCACGCGGGTGCCAGCAAAAGTGCGGATGACGAAACGCTTTCCCTGACTACCTACCAGACCACCCCAACCCAACCCGAAGACCCGAACTTGACCCGAATTTCGGGTTGGGGGGGTGTACGGATACCATGTGTTTTTTCAACGTTCCCCGACCCCCCCCACTGGAAATGAAGGCAAAGAGAGGGCTTCGGGTTGGGTTGGGGTGGTGTGGTGGGGGGTGATTCCCAGCCGTGCCCGCCCATCTGATGCAGCGGGGGGGAGGACCTGGCCGAGAGCCGAACCCGTGGCCCTCTTGATGATCACGTGGATGTCGAGGGGCAGGGCATCCTTGGACGGCTGGGCGGCCCTCACCTCGGCAAGGGCAGGGAGGGAAGACCGGGAGGGGCACAGCGTATTCCACGGATTCCGCTCGGGTTCCGATTCTTTCTGTCCGCTCGGGTTCCGATTCTGGCCGTCCGCTCCGGTCCCCCTTCCTATTCCGGCATTTTTTCTTTTTCCGGCCCTCCTCTTCCTTCTCTCTTATTTCGGCTTTCTTTCTCTCCCGGCCTTCTCTTGCCCACGGAACGCCTCGGGCCAGCGGAAGGACGCCTCCCCCCCGTCGCGGCGGTGGCCCCGCGGCGACTTGCCACGCCCCGAGAGCTGATATAGCGTGTCTCTCCGCTCCGCGTGGCGGGGGGCCTGGAGAGGCCTCGAGACGTCGACGCTTGGCAATGGGCTCATTGAAGGGGCCCTGGGACACACAAATAAATACACACAAATAAAAGGATTCCCCATACTTTCCTATATTTTTTCGGTTTTTGTCTTCCCTCCCACTTCCAATATTTTCACATATTTTCGAGGGAATCGACGATTAATGGTGTTTGTGTGTTTCCTTTCCTGACTCATGGCTGGCGGGTCGCGCCGACGTCGCGGTGGGCCAGGACCGGCGCCGCGACACGCTGAGCAGGAAGCTCCCGACCGTGTGCGTCCACGGCGACGCCGCAGAAGCGAGGACCGACCGAGCCGCAAAAGGGAAGGGGAAGCGACCGAACGCAGCCGAGCCAGGCGCCGCAGCGCAGCGGCGCAGCAGCCGACCGAGCCGAGCCGACCGCATGTGGCGGCCGCGGCGCGGCCGACCGGGCCCGGGCGAAAGGACGCCTCCCGCTCGCTCTCCCACGGGGCCCTCGCAGACCGCCCCGTCCTCCAAGATCTCCCACGATGGCCAGCAACAGTCGAGGTCTCCAGCATCTCGCCATCGCTCGGACGTCCATTCCCTGTGTTTTTTTCGGTTTCGTGCGTGGTTTTTTCGCCAAATGATCAGGGATGCTCCTCGACGGTCCTCGCCGAAGGAAAAATGCACACGTCCGAGCGATGCCGAGGCATTGCTGGTGGGCATGATAGACCCAGAGGGCACCTTTCTCTTGAACAGGCCGCCCGGCACAGGCCGCCCAGCACTGGGGCGGACGGCCCATGCACCTGAGGTCTGCACCTGCCGTCCCTTTACCGCCCCTCCACCTCCTGCTCCTGCTGCCCCCATGTGTTCCTCTGCTTCCTCGTGCTCCTCGTGGCACTGCTCCTGCTGCTCCTGCTGCTCCTGCTGCTCCTGCTCATCCTCTTGCTCCTGCTCCATTTGTCTCCCGAGAATGCTCTCCCGCTCCTCGTCCTCCTTTGAACAATTATCGTTCTTGTCTTCCTGCCCACCGTGCTCCTACCATCATCCGCTTCCTCCTCCTCCTCCTCCATTTACTCACTATCCTGCTCCTCCTCCTCCTGCTCCTCCTAATCATCAAAAGCACCATACTCGTTATTACCATTCTGATCATCATCACCTGTACCATCACCATCACCACCTAATCATCAACATCACCATGATCGTCCGCAAACCATCAAGAGCACCATCAGCATCAAGACCATCCTCTGCATCACAATCATCATCATTATCATCATCACCACCATCACCATCAGCATCAGCATTCATCTACCACCAACATCGTCATCACCTTCACCATCGTCATCATCACCAGCAGCATCATCATCAGCATCAGTATCATCCTCATCATCCTCATCATCCTCATCATCATCATCATCATCATCATCATCATCATCATCATCATCATCATCATCATCATCATCACCTTCACCATCATCATCAGCATCATCATCATCATCATCAGCATCAGCATCATCGTCATCATCATCAGCATCATCATCATCATCCCCCTCCTCCCCCGCCTCCTCCCCCTCCTCCTCCTCCTCCGTGCCCCTCCTCCGCTCCAGGCCGGCCGCACGCCTCGCTGACGCCCTCGAAGGAGGAGAAGAGCATGGACGCCGCCTTTTGGTGGTCCCCAAACGTGGTGGTGAGAACACCTGGTGGTGAGTTTTGGGCGATTTGGGCAACGGTTTTCGAGCGCTGGCTGGCCCAGGAAACGCAAAACCTCGTGGCGACCGCGTGTCCCCAAACCCGGTGGTGACCCAGAGTTGGGGGAATCGGGGTCACCACCGGGTGTCCCACCACCTGGTTTGGAGACCACCAAGCCTTGCACGCGTAGGGCGCCATCGGCGCGACTGGGCCCCGGGGGCCGCGGCGGGGGCGAGCGGCCCGGGCAGGCGCGCCAGGGGCGCCCGCGCGGCCCCTGCTGGCCGAGGCCAGGAGGGCCCGGGAGGCCCCGGCCGGGCAGGACTCCTCCTCCCGCTCCTCCTCCGCGGTCGATAACCTCGTCCCTCCTCCTCCTCCTCCTCCTCCTCCTCCTCCTCCTCCTCCTCCTCCTCCTAATCTTCTTCTTCTGTTTCTTCCTCTTCCTCCGTCTCCTCCTCCTCCTCCTCCTCCTCCTCCTCTCCTCCTCCTCCTCCCACTCCCCATCCTGCTCTTCCCCTCTCGTCCCCTTCCTCCCCTATCCTCCTCCCCCTCCTCCTCCTCCAACTCCCCCTCGTCGTCCTCCTCCTCCAACTCCCCCTCGTCGTCGTCGTCCTCCTCCTCCTCCTCCTCCTCCTCCTCCTGCTCGTCGTGGTGGGTCGGTCGGTCGGTCGACAAGGGTGATAGACAAGACACCCACGCAACGTAAACGCGATATACAAGGTGGGGGCAGCAGCAGGGCGAAGCACACATATGGCGAGGCTATACAAGCAGCTCGTCAGGCGCACCGCTCACCCGCCCCCCCGAGTGGGCTCGTCAGCGTGCGAGTCGCACACCAAACGCGGAGGTTCAGGCAAGAGATTGACGGCCGTCGTGGATGGGGTTTCACACACAGGTCGAGTCGGAGCCTGGAACAAAGCAAACACCACTGCAGCAACCAACGACTCGGCGGCAGCAGCGGCGAGGGCAGGGGAGACAAATGAGCGTTCAGGGATGCTTACTGCCCCACCTTTCACAGTTTCTGCCCAACCCCCACAGTTCGGTGCTGCTGTTGTGCGAATCGCGCCACCAGACCAGGGATATGAATACACATCACTCGCACTGCCCTGCCAACTGGCCGCCGTCCGAACCTGAGAAACCTGGCAGACATCAACCCGTGCCATGCTCGAAAATGACGCATTCAAAGGGAATCCCCATCCTGAGACACGTCCCGCCAGGGAGGGGGGGGGGCACCACACAACGGGGACCCCCCGTTTCCAACGCCAGCGCAACAGGCAGCCCATCGCCATGAGTGTCACATTGTCGCGCCGAGCGTGCTCGTGCTCCAATCCCCAAGGGTGCATGTTTCCAGGAGCGCATCAGACCTACTACTACTACTACTACTACTACTACTACTACTACTACTACTACTACTACTACTACTACTACTACTACTACTACTACTACTACGACTACTACTACTACTACTACTACTACTACTACTACTACTACTACTACTACTACTACTACTACTACTACTACTACTACTACTACTAAACTACTACTACTACTACTACTACTACTACTACTACTACTACTACTACTACTACTACTACTACTACTACTACTACTACTACTA